CTTTCGTGCGCCCGTTATGGTTGCTATCTTTTGGTTGCCCATTTAGATATCGTGTCAAACAAATCGTGGATCCATAATTTACTAGTGGGCGGAATGCTGCCAGGTTACCCAGACCCAATTGGGCGAATTTCCCTGAAGATTCACAATCAGAGCCTTTGGGCATTCACCGACCCAGATGGTAAATTTCCGTCCTCTCACTTTGGTTGCGAAACGCCTCCACCACATGAATGCAGAGGCTGTTTGAGATGCTTGGTCGTATAGTAGCCTTCGCGAGGTGCAAGAAAAGGGTTACCAACCACATCTTGATAGACATATCCACCCCGGCAATACTGAAGCTTTCGGAGATGGGTTTGTACGCTTAGTCGTAGTAACCCAGTATGGGGTCCAGCAACATCAATCAGGATAACTGCAGCGTCGAACCGCACACTACATCAATAGAATAGGTGTGATACTGAGCTAGACTACTTCAAATTGGTCCGGTTCCGCGAGTTTGAAGTCTAACCCTGGGCGTATACGGCAGTGGTGTACCCTACTAGGCCACCGCGATTTTCTAACCACTCGTTTATTATTTGTTCTCTTTTCCGTGACTTAGCACTAATGGCTATCGTACAGTTAGATTTAGACTGTTGTGTATCTTTTCATTATTGTTAATGAACACGATTCAACCAGACGTGCTGCTCTTGATTCTTCGGAGTCATCCCAGATTGGTCTACAATCTCGGTTCTGAGTGTTGTTTCGGCTGTCATAACTTCTAACCAGTCTACTCAGTGAATCCTCTTCGGCTCCGAGTTGAGTTAATTTCTTACTATTGCTGAAACCAATGGGGCTTCAAACTATCCGTCGAAAATAAGCCACTTAATTTAGTGTAAATGGTAGCTAGTAAAGTGAGAAAGTTTGTATTTGTACTGAACGTTAGCTGAACGTTTGATCATGTCGACATAGCTGTTATGATCTTAATTGGTGGTATTTGTTTCGCTTAATTAGACGTGGTCTCACAAGTTGTGCGCCTCTGTAACCCTGATGCCTTCGAATCTAAGTTCAACGTAAGGCTGTTTCACTCACATAGCAAGAAGACAAACCTATGCTTACCCTCCTCCCAACTGGTAACTGTGGGTTGTGATGTTAGTTGAGGTGTGGTCTGATAGAGCTAATTGGTGAAAAACAGCAATCATTGTGCACCATCCCATCTCGATTCAATTACCCATACTGTTTCCTAACACTGTCTGCTATAAAAATTGTATCGTGAATAAATTCGCTCATTTCTAACTAGACGGAATATGATCAATTTCACTCACCTTATGGTGGTAGGAGAAGCGAGTACTTTGTGAATTTTGAAGAACCAGGGCGCAATTGCGGCACAGATTAACATGGTTGTTATCGAACACCTTTTGATACAAATAATTTCGAGGTGCATTTATGTTATCAGCCCAACCTGACATCCTTCCACTTTGTGTAAGTACTTCTACGTAATTAGTTTCGAAATGATGCATTCACCATTAGCTCCGGCTCCAGGCCGCCCGCTCGCAAAGCTGGGAGAAAGCATTCTCAGCGGTAAATCATCAGCGCGGAGGAATGTTCGCCGAAGAATACTTAGTCCTCTTTGATGTCATTAGGTTGATGGTTTGCTCATGGGTATATATTGAACCAATAACTGCATTCCATTCTCCCTCCTCACCTCACTCGGAATATTGTTTTTTGCACACGATAGGCATGTTACCTCGACTGTGTCCGGAACGTTGGGTCACCACACGCGAATACGATCCCCAGTCGGACACAAAAAGTACGACCGAATCAAGTGTCTCGGACAGCCAGGAATGTTTGCCACATCTGCGCTCGATAGGTGTACGCGCATTGGGACGACATTTACCGGTTGAAGCGAACGAACTGGTTTACGTACTTGGCAAGCGGTGAGTAAATGCGTTTGATCACCGGTGACGGAACCAGGTTCGATACGATCTCCCACAGGTCCGCTTTTGTTTTCGCTCCGTAACTTCGTCTTTTCTTCTATTATGCATTTCAAAGGGAGTTCTTACCAGTTTCTTTGGTGTTAGTGGTTCTAAAAACCTTATTCACGATTGTGTTTAGGCAGTTCAACTGAGGCAAGTATTCCGGCAGCTTCAATCCCGCTCCACTCGGCACTCCTCATATCGATTTTTATTTCCCTCCATCACAGTGTAAACTCTTTCGACCAAAGGGTCTAGTTTTTAAGGTTCTACTTTGAACCGTTGACAAGTTAACGCAACTTACAGCAGAATACAGTATTTTCCCATTCGCTATTGTGGTCAACCATTCTTCCGCATAACAATTATTCCGAAATCTTGCGGTATGCTTTGGCATCGGATTGCTTTACTTCGTTATTTAGTGCCTATTTAGTGCCCGAAGCAACTAAAATAAATAAGAGTCCAGGCACCGGAGATGCTTTATTCCGGTTTACCACACACACACGCATATTCCTTTCTCAGCATGTTCTGACCAAGTCATATTGAGAAGATGAATGGGCTTGGCAACAATCCTCACTCGATCAGGCGAGTTATATGCGTAATCGATTCACTTTACTTGTCTCTTCTCACTTTATCTCCTACTCGCTTTTCATTTTAAATGGATTTAACCACATTATTCAAAATGCATTCATCATCGTTCCCTCTTGCACGCGCTGCCTGTATTGTAAGCTCATAACCTAGAATGTCACCCCACGTGTCGGCGTCCATCAATTTCGGACACCGAATGGAGTCAATTTCAGTCAATTAATTCGCGGAACTCCGATGCACCTCATCACTCACGACGTTTACGAGAACCCCGTCCATCCCACCTCCCTCTCTCTCTCGCCTAATTACCAACGAAGAGAGAGGGTAACTTTATTTTCATTCATGCATGAGCTATTTGGTTTTTTACCCCGAACCATTGCGTTTCTGGCGCCTTTATCTTAGTTCATTTTGACTATAGTGACCCTGTGAATTTTAGCGGTAAACTAAACAGGCATAATTTCTGAATCCGTTCGAGTCGAAATACCAGTTTCAACATATTTCTGACCGACCTTAACTCGTTTTCGTCACACATACACTGGCCCATCGTGAACGCTTTGTTTACTGTTCGTCAAGCCTGACTCTCTCTCTCTCTGGCTCTCTAATCTCTTTGACTGACGGCGAAAAAGACGGCGGTAGGTGAGAGTGAGGGGGGGGGGACTTGTATTACGGGAGACAAGTGTAAGTTGTATACCTACCCGGGAGTCGAATGATGATGAGATGTTTGTTGTACTTTTAAGTTCGATTTCTCTCTCGCCTGGCATGTTTTCGATTTGTTCAACACGTTACGCGACGTTTTTTCTTTCCCTCGAGGCGTCANTTCATTACCGGGTCGGATGGTGGTTCCCCACTCCATTCGTTTTAATGTGAGATACCTAAATCGTGAATCGTCCCTCCCATCACACCGATCTCCAGGCGATCTAAATCCGCTGATTGATTAGGTAGCTTTCATTTGATGAAGTTGATTGGCGGCCACTTGCCTCCCACGTGTCTAATGACTGTTCACTATAATCTCTCCAAAATCATTCTTCATAAACAATCATGTTTGGTATGGAATTAACCTCTTCCAGGCCACTTGTTACCACCGTGTGGCTTGTTTCTTCCTGTCCCTCGTTTTCTAATT